TCTCCTATAGGTTACATATTTTTGGAACTTCCGCCACCGCCTTGTGCGGTACTACTGGTGTATATATATATATATGTGTGTGTGTGGATCTATGAACATACATATTATAATTAGATATATAATTATATGAATATATTCATTTATACATATATATATACACATACAAAAACATATATATATATGTATGTATCAATAATCATGTATACCAGTAGTACCGCACAAGGCGGTGGCGGAAGTTTCCAAAATAGGAAACCTATAGGAAAGGTTGGTTGTTGTGAATCACGGATGGCAGAGCGAAGCCACTGATGGATCGAAAGGTGATTGATGTCTCCTCTCTTTTTCTCTCTTTCTCTGACTGTCTACCTACCTACCTATCTATCTACCTATGTATCTATCTATCTATCTATCTACCTAACTACCTATCTATCTATCTATCTTATCTAATCTAATCTATTCTATTCTATTCTAATTCTAATTCTAATTCTAGTCTAGTCTATTCTATTCTATTCTATTCTAATTCTAATTTTATTTCTAATTCTAATTCTAATTCCAATTCTAATTCTATTCTATTCGATTCGATTCTATTCTATTCTATTCCATTCGATTCTAATTCTATTCTAATTGTAATTCTAATTGTAATTCTAATTGTAATTCTAATTGTAATTCTAATTCTAATTTTAATTCTAATTCTAATTCTAATTCTATTCTATTCTATTCTATCTATCTATCTCTCTGTCTGTCTGTCTGTCTGTCTGTCTGTCTATTTATCTACCTGTCTATCTGCAATCTTGAAAACCAAGCTATTCTGCGAGATGTCTTCATTGTTCAAAGTTGACAACATCAAAAACGAAGCAATTCTGCGAGACTTCCTCAATGTTTGAACTTGACAACGTCAAAAACGAAGCAATTCTGCGAGACCTCTTCATTTTTCAAAGTTGACAGCATAAAAAACGCAGCAATTCAGCGAGACTTCCTCAATTTTGCATTTGACAACATCAAAATCAAAGCAATTCTGCGAGACTTCCTTAAAAAATGGAAAGTTCAGTGCAGCGCTGACGCAACCCCTCGCAGGAAATCAGCGCCCTGACCTCCTAACATCTCTCATGAACACGTCTTTTGTACTGCGCTTGCCACGGAAAATGCATCTTTGCAGATCTTCTTCAAATGTCCGCCTGCCATCGTTTTTGGAAATGCGACAAAACCCTCACGTTTTTCACTTTTGACAAGGTGCACAATCCCGTGTGCCTGCCACGCGAAACGAGCTCTGAACGTCCAAAAGTGGTCCGAAGGTGGTGTGTTTCGTACATTTTGACTTAGAAATGTGCTTCGCGCCACAACGGCGTGTGGTCCGGAGTTGGTGTGTTTTGTGCATTTTGATTTCGAAATGTGCTTCGCGCCACAACGGCGTGCACTTTTTCGACATCGCCACTTCCAAAAGTGGTCCGAACGTGAGGTTTTTTAAGCTTTTTTACTTACAAACGAGCTTCACGCCACAACGGCGTACACTTTTTCATCTCTCATCTGGCCAGATGGCTCTGCACCCGCCGCTTTAGCGAGCCTACTTTTCGACCCTCCGGAGCCACAAATCATTGGAAAAACGCAGTGTTTCGCGACTTTCCTACCTTTTCGCACATCTGCATCTTCTTTCTTCTGACTCTTTGTCTTCTCTGATCTGCTCTCTTCTACTCTTCTCTTCTCTCTGCCTCTGCCCAGCTCTGCTTTTCATCTGTCCATATTGTCGGAAGTTTGGCGGCTAAATTTCCTTCGAATATATATATATATATCTATATCTATAGATATATATATATAATATACATACATACATACATATAATATAATGCCAACCCCGGATTAACAAACCATTGTTTATTGATAGGGGGTACTCCTCCAATAGTCATAATATGACTTACATGGTACCCTCCCAATTAAACCGCCGAGGGGTTTATTAATCGAGGGTTGACATTACATATATACATGTTTTTTTTAATATAGATATATGCGATTATATATATATATATATGTGTTATTTATATAAATATATATATATGTGTGTGTGATCGTATATATGTGATTATATATTTACACATGTCACACACACATATATATATATATATATAACAACGAATTTGTGGTCAACCATTTAGCCAAGAAACCTAGCAAACTAGCCGAACATCCCAAAAAAAAACATGCGGCAATTGCAATTGCAAACCATTGTTTTTGTCGGTCGGCCAGTATGCCGCAGTGAAGTGAAAGAAGGATAGTAGTCAGCAATCAATCTGGTTTCGATCCCAAACTCGGTACGCTGACCACAATCACTGGATTAATGGGAAGCACCCCGTGTCAAAGAGTTCCTTTGATATCATTGGAATAGATGGTGCAACGGTGCAACTAGAGGTGCAGCTTCTCCCAAATATGGAGGAACATCCACACAAACGACCACTTTCATCCACTCTTAACTGGATTTTTTGATTTTGTGACCAAAACTTGCAGACCATCTGAGGACCCAAAGTGCTTCTGGTTAACCAACTTCCTGGAGACGCTGTTGGTTCAGGTGGGGCAGCAACATAGAGCTTCAAGATGCTTCAAGGATTGACCCTGATACATGGAAGTGTCAGCAGAGGAGGATTGGTGCTTCTTGGTTTGCTTGCAACAAACCAGCGGAAAACTGATGTTCGATGTAAGTGTCAGCATCAGCACTGACAGGGTTGCTGTGGTCCTCTCGAACTTGCTGGAACACCTGACCTTTGATACCCTTGTGTCTCATGCGAATTTGATGGAGTGGTTTTGTGCAGGTGTGGTACCCCATGACCGTGGCCACCCAGAGCCGATACCAGAAGTGTTTTGCCTGCACAGCCTTCAAACAAATCCTGAGTGTCGCCACAATCAACAAGTAACCAGTAGTACTTAGATTGGAAGATGATTGTTCTATTATGTAATATTTAGGGATAGGTTGAGGGAGTCACGTAGACATTTATATACAGCAAGCAAATAAAAGCACTTTCAGAATCTTGAAAAGGGCTCCCATTGTTACCTGTAGCGGTTCAGCCTCTGCGAATGCCCACGCTTCTCTGCGTAGGATGTCGATCGCAAAGTACATGGAGGCGGGGGCCCAGTTCCTTTGCTTGCTCAGGCGAGCACAAATGGCATGTCCATCAAGTGTTTTTTTCAACACGAAAGTCATTTTCCAGGTGCCGTTTTGCGAGTGCTACATCTTGTTCTTGGTTCGTACCAGACCTCCAATGTTGAAGAATGGTCCAGCTGCAACTTCTGCAGGAGACCGGAAACACCGATTGGTCCATCCCCAACGGCGTGAGACGCTCGTTTTGCAAAAGCGTCGTCATGCTGCAATGCATCTGAAAAGCATCAAAATGAGTGGGGCTACAGGCGCTGGGGGATAAAGGGTATTGATTGAATCCTGGAAAGCCGTGTAGGGTCCGAACCAGACGGCATATTATCTTTAGCTGGAAGCCTCAGGTTTGCATGTGGAGATACACCGTAGGCACCAATCTTGAATTCTTGCCACCTTGCTTTGCAACCATGATAAGAACCCAGTTGTGGGCAGGACGACCCAAGGAATTCGGACTTATGTTCACTGTTGTTACCACCTTCTCGCCGTGCTTACTATATACCTATTTCTTCAAGTAGTAAGTAGGGAGATAAGTAGGTTGCAGGCCTATTTTAAAGGCCGCGTTCAAGATAGCCATGACCATTTGGTGACTTGACAAGAAGAATTGCTGAGTGCCCCGAAATTTGGAGAAATTTGCAGACTGACTCTTTCATCACCGGCGAGCTTGACATCCGTTGCTGAAATGTCCCTTTTATGTCCCTTTACGTGCCCGTTTATCCGTTACAGACCTATCAACTGACACGTTTGTTTTTTTTCATAGCATTGTTACAGAATCCTCTATTTTGTATTAATGGATGCGTGCAAAACATATGTTCAATTATGCATGCATAAAATTGCTTACCTGAAATCAGGAGGTCAACATATGGCTTGCAGGGCTCAAGCCTGATGTCTCGACAGGTGGTCTGTAGGTTCTTACTTGAGGGGATAAAGTCAAATTTTTGGGGATTAGCTTGTCCAAGCTACTGTCATCAACCTTCCATCGGCCTGATCGGTTTCTCCTTCCTGGCTGGCATCCTGGTTGGCGCTACCTTGTGCTGTGCCTTTGGATTTTGGCTTTTTGGCTTCCTCAATTGTTCCCTGCTGGATTCTCTTCGTCAACCGATCATCAGGTTGACTCCACGTGCTCAGGTGTTGGCCTCATACCTGCATGAGCCACAGGCCTTCCAGCAGCGACGGAGGGGTTAAGTTGGAAATCAGTTTGCCAGGTGACATCCAGGTCACCATCACTGCACCCTCGTCTGCTGCCTCTCTTGCTGCTGATCTCTTGGGTTTCACATTTCTCTGTACCCTGGCGGTGTGGATTCGGCACAGTCTGACAGGTCTTTTGAATTTGTAGGCGGTTCCCCTGTGTCTGGTCTCTCCCGTTTGCCTGAGACCCGAGATTCCATCTTGCGTTCTTTTGGTGATTGCCCTGCTCACTTCTTTGTTCACGCCAACAAGTTGTGTGGCTCTTCGTTGTCGGGGAAGGGTCGTATTGAGCGTGCTTGGCTGGCTGGTCAGTGGGCATCTGCAGTCCGTGATCGGCGCATCGGAAGTCCCAATCGCACACCGGCCTTGGACTTACGGCCGCGCTGCTATGCTAGGACTAACGCAGTAAGGGCCTTTGATTGGGCAAGGACTGCTTTTGCCAAGTGATCTTGATGAGAGGAACACTGGCCTCCCCCAAGTTTCTCCTCCTCCAGTTCGGCAAGGTCTTGCGGCTGCATCAAAGGAGATCTCAACAGACCCGGCTGGATGGTGCTGGCTGTTCTGGGGGGAGTACCAATTACCTTTGCCACTGCTCAGTTCTGTGGGGACTGCTGGGTCAGGGCAGAGGATATGGGCTGGCTCAACAAGGCCTTAGTAGGCGGCTGCATGGGCGCTGGGGTCATTGTCTTTCTCTCCAGCTGCTGCTGTCGTGGACCTGCTGTGTCAGGCCTGTGTTTGCTTGGATCATCTCCTGAAGGGAATCTGCTATGGATGCTACTGTTGGACGCTTTTCTGCAGGCGTATGCCGCCCTTGACCAGGCGCTGTGGCTTTTGCAGGTTTACTTGTTTTTGCAGGACGAGGCGTAGACACTTCCTCTAGTGGTGGCTCTTGATCCAAGGCACCTGGCAAGTCCCCTGTTTCTAGGAGACCGTCGATGTCCTCCTCCGCATCTGCCGTGACGTATCCCAGACCGTTGCCCCCTCCTGCTTCTAACCAATCCCTGACCCAGGCAAGGAGTTCTGAAGGTGAAGGCGCTGCAAATGGTTGCTCTGGTTCGAAACTGAACTGGAGAGGAGAAAAGGCAGGAAGACCATGCATGTAAGGCAAGACGCTTTCGGAAAAATCCACAACGACTGCTGCTATGGTGGTGCCTGTCGGAGATAGCACCCCATTGGTCCTACGGCTCCTGGAGGTGAAGAGCCATTTCCTACTGCAAGGACTTCTCCGGGAACTAGTCACATGCAAAACAAGAACATCGGAAACTAGGGTTGTCAAGGAATCCAAAGTCAAGGCTTCTGGCGGTTCCATCTTTCAAGCTAAGCGACAATTTCGATCTCAGTTTCCCCTGCCAATTCCAGGTAGATCTTTGCTTCAAGCTCACTGGGGAATGCCTGGCTGATAGAGGAGCTCCCTTCGAGGGACCCAATGCAATTCCAATAGCTGGCGGAAGATCTGAAGACAGTGGCACGATCAAGTCCAGGTGCCCTCAAATTGCATCCCAATCGTCGGATCCAATGTTGGAGCTAGGAGCTGGGACTCTTGGTGGAGGGCCTCGGGGTCCGCAGGGGAGGGCGAAGCTTCAAGCAGAACTGGCTGCCCAGAAAGGAGTCTTCTTTCAGTCGGTTTCGGCTGCAGAGGGCACCCCCGAGGAGATGATGGCAAGAGGAATCTCCGCACTCGATATCTGGAGAGGTTCGGAGGTTTTGGAAAGCACAGAGAGCTGGGCTGCCTCATGCACCAGATCATGACCATCATGGACTTCCTTCAGGTGGGAAATCTACCTGGTGCAAGGGATGCCACGGCCCTATTGGCTGTCATAGTGGACCAAGCTACCCTGGACAATGGTCGCTTCGACCTAGCAAATCTCCTGTGCTTACAAGAGGAACCTCCAGCAACAGTATTCTCCCACAAGCGGGCCAGTGTCCTTTCAAAGACATGGGCCTTCACCCCCCTGGCCTCTCAACAGTGGGTGGCTGTTGCGCTTGCCTACATAAAGGAGCTGGAGGGGAGCCAGAAGACTAATTCAGATACCAGGCAATGCATATAGTGATGCTGTGCAAGAGGGGCCGGAGCCAAACCCTCTTGTTGCAAAGATCACTTTCCAGCAGTGGATTGCTTGCCTTCCTCGCTGGATTTGAGGACCCGCGCAAAGTTTGCAGCCCTCTTGGCACGTTCCTTTGCGATCTTGCGCCGTTCCGAAGAGACGGCGACCACGCTTTTTCCACTTCCTCTGCCTTCTTTGGAATGTTTTCGGAGTAGTGGTCCCAACTTGTCAAAGAAGCGTCACTTGTCTGTCTGCCGAGCCCGCCTTTTGAACACCTGGGTTTTGCTCTTGTGCTTGGGGCGAATCCCTTCCTTTGATGAGCTTCGGAGATGTCCCTCTTCTCAGCAGCTTGCTGTCTTTGCTCGTTCGGACATTCATGAGTATGTGTGGTGACGCCCAGGAGGATTTCTCTTTCATCCCCGGCAGATCCAGTCCTGAATTAGCTTCTGCATTGTATCAACTTGAGGCATTTTGCCTGCGCTGTGATGAGCTTAAATCTGGCAAAATGGATAAGGATTCCGTGCCCTTTTTTGAGGACCTTGGACTTGAGGACCTTGGACTTTTGTCTTCTGAGCAGCCTCCAGAGTTGTTGCCTTATAGGTCTTTGGATGCCAGTCGCCTTCGTCTTGTAGGTGAAGGTAGGTGGCCCATGGAATCCTATCTTGACGGTGTGCTTTGGATGCCTTTCCAGGAGCCCTTTTTTCTTCTCCATGGTCTTCCAGTGTCAGATGAGCTTGTCCCGAACTTCACCAGAGAAAGCCCCCATGAATGCTTCAAGTTGGCTAAAGTTTGGGATGCACGTGGATTGCTTGAGCTTTTTCCCAAGCCCGTCATGCCTGGCCATTTCAGCAGGGTCTTTAATGCTTTCAAAGATGCCACGAAGGATCGGCAGATAGGAGATCGACAGTTGCCTAACTTGTCAGAGTATCACATTGATGGACCTTCCAAAGCCTAGCCCCAAGGGCACATCAGGTTGCCTAAGTTCACCCATGTGCTTCGTGGCTCTATGACAGATAGGCGCGATTTCTACCATCAAGCACAAGTCGCCGCAGAACGTGCTCAAAGCAATATGTTGCCCTTCTCCTACCCCCATATAGGATTTTCAAGGGACGGCTGCCTATGAGGCTTTTTCCTCTGCTCTCAGCAAATCAGCGTCAACAGGGCGTGAGGTTGTAGGAGATGGGTTTGATGGTAGGGCAAAGGCAAGAGGTAGGGCCAAGCTTTCCATGCCTGCTAAACTTTATCCGTGCTTCGCCTCCTTGTTCCAAGGTGATCACCTAGGTGTTGAGTTTGCCTTGAGGAGCCACAGCCTGCTTCTTGAAAACCATGGTTTGTTGACACCTGATAGCTGTATCCTTGAGGGTTCACCTGTTCCTGTTGGTGGTGTGTGGGATGCGTTGGTCATTGATGACTACTTTTGTCTCAGCGCGGAAAAGATCAGCACTCCAGTTGAGAAAGCTGTTGGTCATGATGCTTTGGGTACTGCCAGACGGGCTTATGCAGTTGAAAGGCTCTTGGGGTCTACAGAGAAGGATGTTGCCAGTACCTCCCTGAAAGCTGCTGGCGCTGAAATCAAGTCCGGTGAGAAGAACGCGAGAGCTGGAGTCGTCCGGTTTGTGCCCCTTTTGGAAAAAGAATTGCCCTTGCGACTTTGTCCCTGCGTGCAGCCGCCTTGCCTGGAATCACCGCTGCATTGATCTCAAGGTTAGCTGGAAATTGGGTCTCTGTTCTCCAGTACCGAAAATGTTTCTCAAGTTTGGTTGACTCAATGTTCAAGCTCTCCAGTTGCTGCATGTCTGAGTCTGAGGAAGACACTGAGGTTCATCAGTTGCCTAGGGCTGTTGCACAGGAGTTTACTCTTCTTGCCTGCGTGTCCCCAATGATTTTCTCAAACGTTGCAGTAGACATGTTGGATTCAGTGTTCGCTACTGACGCCTCCAATCAGAAAGGTGCAGTTGTTGCAGCCAAGATTGAACCTGGCTTGCATGAACATCTCTGGCCTCAATCTGACAGGAAAGGTAGTTACACCCATCTTGACAACAGTTTCCATGCCATCTTGCGTCAGGTTGGGGATGTTGACGACGACCTTGAAACTGCTGGTCCTGCTGAGCCTTTTGACCCAACCAGAAAACAGCACCTGCTTTACTTTGACTTCGTTGAGATCTGTGGAGGGGCAGTGACGCCCTTGCCAACCTTGGTAGGTCGGTCGCCCCAGTCTTGGATTTGTCCAACAGCAAGCACTGTGACCTTGCCTGCCCAAGGGTTTGTGAGTGGATCATCTATATGATGAGGAGGATCGCTTCAGGTCTTTCCTCATTGCTCCACCTTGCATGAGCTTTAGCCCCGCTGCTCATCCAGCGGTGAGGAGCTATTGCGAGCCTTTGGGTTTGATAGGCTGAATCCAAAAACCCTCCATGGAAACCTGCAGGCCTTCAGAACATTGATGCTGTTGAGGGTAGGTAGGAGGTGCAAACCACAAGAAAGAGTTCCTTCTGCTGTGCTACCTTTTGGATGTTTCCTTCCTGAGTCGCAGATGCCCTGGCGGTCATACCCATGTCAGGGTTGAAGGTTCCTACACAAAGGCATCAGCTGTATATGTGGATGGACTTGCATGGCAAATTGGACTTGCTTTTCATCAGGCTTTGTCATCCCTTGATGCCGAGGAGCGTTTGGGGTCAGCCGTGGATGGACTTGAGTCTGTTTTTGCCAATGATGTCATGAGCACCTCCAAGTGGTCAGTTGTGCGTGCTTGGTTCTGGAAGAGGATGCACCACATTAATGTGCTTGAGCTGACTTCTGCAGTTTCCTCCACTTTGCGCTCAGTATCTCTCTGTCAATCGTCTGTTCGGTTTGTTTCCTTCCTGGACTTTGCCGTTTGCCGCGATGCCCTTGCGAAAGGTCGTTCAGCCTCTTATGCCTTGCAGCCTGGACTTAGACGAGCTGGTGCTTGGTGCATTGGATTTGACCTTTATCCAGCATGGCCATTCAGCCCGACACGACTGAACGTTGCAGATGACCCCACCAGGGGAAGTGAAACCAGGCCGGCCAGTGTCAACTCAATTTCTACGGTTGATGGGTTTGTTCATGTTGCCTCATCTCTGTCAGGTCTGCGTCGTTTTGCTGCGAATTGGGTCAGGCTCACCTTGTTGGCTGTCAGTGTTCTTCCGGCTCACTCAGCCTGTCTTGAGGACACATGTGGTGTTGGACTCTTTGATTTGCTGGATTTTGCCGCCTGGGTCACTGCCTGGATTTTTGGACTTTCCCTTGGATTTGTTCTCCTCTCATGGATTTTCCCCAGCTGGACAAGGCAATATAATCTAGCCCCAAAAAGGTCCCAGTTAAGTAGTCCCCTCAAGTCTCGACCCGTATTTGCCATAGTTTTCCTGCTCTTGATGAGTGCGACTGGTGAGGCCATGAATATGGCACCTACTATCCTGAGGTTGAGCGACAGCGTATCCTCGGAGATGGGATCCAACTTGTAGCTACAAGGGCAATCAAGCAGCAAACCAAAACCAGAAACCGGCGAAAGATTTTATCTGGAATGGTTTCGCAGATGGCTTTGGGATGAGAGGCAGATCTCACTCCGCTTCCTCATTGACCAGAAACCCCCTTATCCAGAGAGACTGTCAGAGCTGCTGGTAGATTACGGGAAGGCTTTGTACCGTGCGGGAAAAGCCTATGGAACCTACGCAGAAACAATTCTGTGTCGGTTGAAAGGCCCTTGATCAGGCGCCAGTACCACGGCATGGGGCCTGGCCTTTGCCTGGCTCGTTGACGAGCCCCACTCCCATCACCCGGCAATGCCTTTGTCGGTGATGGCAGCTATGGTTGTGACTGCCCTTTGCTGGGGCTGGGCTCATGAGGCAGCCGTTATCATGATGAGCGGCACGTGTCGACCAAAGTGACATCATACGTTTCATGGATTCCATGTACAGAGATGCGCCCCCGGATGCTCCATTGTGGCCATATTCAGCTGCAACCCTGAGGAAGGGGTTCACTCAGATTCTCAAGGTGCTGCAGCTGCCAAATACGAAGACAGCAACTACGAGACCTTTTGACCTTGGTACAATGAGGCCCGGAGGAGCTACCTGGATGTTGCATCAGACGGAGAGTCCGGAATATGTGCAGAGACGGGGGCGCTGGCTCAGCGCACGCGTGATGGAGGTTTACCTCCAAGAGGTGATGGTGACAACTTTCTCCGAACGTATTCAGCCAAAGAGGAGATTTTTGATTCAACTATGCTCTGGAGAGTTTGCAGCTGTGCTCGAACGCGTGATCGCTTTTCTCGATACAGGCATCCCCCCCAAAGCATGGTATGCCTTAATTACTCAAAATACCTGCAAGTGTTCAGACCAAGGACATTGGAAATGATGGGGCTGATGGCGTGTTTTGTGGCCACCAGACTACAAAGGCTCGGTGGCATGAAAACCCATCCGAGCAAGATCGCAAAAAGACATGCGGCGACACTTCTGAAATCAGGAGGTCAACATATGGCTTGCGGGGCTCAAGCCACCCGAGCCCTCCCGTCCCAGCAGGTCGGGCAGATGGCGTGTTTTGTGGCCACCAGACTACAAAGTCTCAGTGGCATGATGATCCATCCGAGCAAGATCGCAGAAAGACATCTGGCGACACTCATATATATATATATATATTGTATCTCGATTCTTGGCAAGTGAGTTACGTTAAATCATGCCCCAAATCCGAAAGTATTTCTACCATTTTCTACCATTTTCTACCTGAGCTCTACCCATTTCTGCTGTTTATACCCCACAGCTGCTGGGCTGAGCCTTCAAGCTGCACGACTTCGGCTTCCGTGGAGTGTCCTCTGTGGAGTCTGCGGCCATTGGTGGCTGCGCGTCCCTTGGCGGTGGCTCCATTCTTGGGAAGTGTCAAAACTTTGGAACTTCCAGGATTGTTTTTGCTCTTTGTGTTTTCTTTGGTTTACGAGTTGACGTTGTTTTTTGGAATTGTGCTTTTTGGATTTGCACTTGTGATGCAAATCCGCGTGCCCATACGTATATGATATGTTTGAAAACATCTATATATATATATATATTAGCTAGGTTCAAGATAGGTGGTAGAGGCCTTAAGTAAGATCCAATCATGTCTGGTACGTACGGCTGGTAGGTTTGGTTTTCTTGGTACGGTACGGTTGGTACATGTGGTACGGTACGGTTGGTACGGTTGGTACGCTTAGTAAGGTACGTTTGGTACGCTTACCAACCGTACCGACCGTACCAACCGTACCAGTGAACCATATAGTGAACCGTACCACCGTACCGTACCAGATTAAGGGGTGGGTCAAGGGAGGGGCGTTTTGGATGTACCAATACTTTTAGTATTGGTACATCCAAAACGCCCCTCCCTTGACCCACCCCTTAATCTGGTACGGTACGGTGGTACGGTTCACTGGTACGGTTGGTCAGGTCGGTAAGGTTGGTAAGCGTACCAAACGTACCTTACTAAGCGTACCAAGCGTACCTAGCCAAAGCGTACCAAGCGTACCAAGCGCACCAAGCATACCGTACCAAGTGCACCAAGCGTACCAAGCGTAGCGTACCAAGCGTAGCGTACCTATCTTATAGCTGGATATCAAGCACCTATCTTGAACTTAGATAATATATATATATATATTTTTTACAGGGACCTTTTGCAAGACATGATAGTCTTCCTTGCCACTACTCATACGAGAACTTGCAGGGATAATTATATACTCCTGTTGAGAGCTTACAATGCTTGATTTTGTGCTGTGTATTCCCATCACTCCTTCCACATCCAAGTCCACAGGTCCCTAGGATGTTTCCCTGAGAGGCCTTGGGCCAAATACTCCTTACCCATTCCTTTCCTTCATCATATGCTCTGGTTGTGATGTGAGCGGAACTCCTGCTTGCCTAGACGGCCTTGGGCTGTGGGTGCATCATTTCATTCCCTCATGTCCTCTTTGTCTGCCCTCACCTTGATTTATTGTGCTTGGTTGTTGTCAGGGAAGCCAAACTGCGTTTTTTTCTCCTCTGGCCACTCCATTGCATTCCTTCATTTGTGGTTCCTTCTGTTGATTCTACTCGCTTGTTCTTGTAAAAGTTGATTTTTCTTCAAAAAACATGTTCACAAAATGGGCAACATGTTGCTGAAACATGTTGGTGTGCAAGTTGAAGCCAAACAGATCGGCACAGATTTCGATGTACATGACTTACAGAACACCTGCTGCGGCCGTTATTGCTTTTCGTTTTTAGATGCTTCTTACACATCTTTGTTTTTGGCTAGTAAGGGTGTAAACACTTTTTGTTCAACTTCAATCAGAATTCTATGCATATTTTAGTTGGGAAGGCTATTTTTTGTTTTTTTTTCCAGCCTGGCATTGTGGCTTTTGTGGATTCTGTGGCTTTTGTGGGTGTGTGGCTTTTGTGGCTTTTGTGGCTTTTGTGGCCTTACCATGCTTTACCATGCTTTACCATGCTTTGCCATGCTTTGCCATGCTTTACCATGCTTTACCATGCTTTACCATGCTTTACCATGCTTTACCATGCTTTACCATGCTTTACCTATCTATCTCATCTAAGCTAATCTAACCTAATCTAAATCTTGTCTGATCTTATCTCATTCTATCTTGTTTATCTTGTTTTTAACTTATCTAATCTATCTAACCTTTCCAACCTATCTAATCTATCTAATCTATCAAATGTATCAAATCTATCAAACCTATCTAATCTACCTAACCTATCCCAGTAGTACCGCACAAGGCGGTGGCGGAAGTTTCGAAAATAGGAAACCTATAGATAGGAGAGGTTGGTTGCTGTGAATCACGGATGGCAGACTGACTCCACTGATGGACCGAAAGGTGCTTGAGGTCTCCTCTCTTTCCCTCTCTTTCTCTCTCTTTCTCTCTCTCTT